TGAGAGAGGTTGAGGTTTCGGTTTCGCCTCCTAGGGGGTCTGAGAGGAAGGAGTATCCTGTTGATCCCACGCTTCCTGATATCAAGAACGGTATCTATGGTACAGATGAGTTCCGGATGTACGCCTTCAAGATCAAGCCGTGTTCTAGAGCATACTCGCACGACTGGACGGAATGCCCATTTGTTCATCCGGGTGAGAACGCGAGGAGGCGTGATCCGAGGAAATACCATTATAGTTGTGTCCCGTGTCCCGAATTCCGGAAAGGGTCTTGCTCCAGGGACGATACTTGCGAGTATGCTCATGGTATCTTTGAGTGCTGGCTTCACCCTGCTCAGTACCGAACCCGTCTTTGCAAGGACGAGACGAATTGCCCGAGAAGAGTTTGTTTCTTTGCCCACAAACCTGAAGAGCTACGTCCGCTGTACCCTTCAACTGGATCGGGTGTGCCTTCCCCACGGTCTTCCTTCTCATCTTGCAATTCCTCAGCTGCTTTCGACATGGGACCAATCAGCCCAATCCCTATTGGTGCATCAGCCACACCTCCTTTGAGTCCTAACGGCATGACCTCTCCTATCGGTGGCGGAAAAACGTGGATGAACTGGCCTAACATTACCCCTCCTGCACTGCAGCTTCCAGGGAGCAGGTTGAAATCCGCAGTGAACGCAAGAGAAATCGATTTCTCCGAAGAGATTCAAAGTCTTTCTTCTCCATCTAGATGGAACAACAACACGCCTGTGTCAGCTGCTCCATCCCCATTTGCTGGAAATGGCATGAACAGGCTTGCGGGAGGAGGAATGAGCCCGGTTAATAGCCTCAGCGATATGTTTGGAACGGATGATAGTACTTCGGGTTTGCAGATCCGACGCAGTGTTATCAACTCGCAGCTGCATTCCAACAGTCTTTCTTCATCACCTGTGGGAGCCAATTCTCCGTTTTCAATGGATTCTTCCACAGCCTTAGCTTCAAGAGCTGCCGCATTTGCTAAACAACGAAGCCAGAGCTTCATCGAACGCAGCAACGGACTGAATCATCATCCCGCAATCTCTTCCATGACTACAACTTGTCTAACCGATTGGGGATCATTGGACGGAAAACTTGATTGGAGCGTCCATGGAGACGAGCTACAGAAGCTCAGGAAATCCACTTCTTTCCGTCTCAGAGCCGGTGGCATGGAATCAAGACTGCCAATCGAAGGGACCGGGCTCGAGGAACCAGATGTCTCTTGGGTGGAGCCGCTGGTTAAAGAGCCACCAGAGACAAGATTAGCTCCAGTTTGGATGGAGCAATCATACATAGAGACAAAACAGACCGTGGCTTGAATCAAAGTTTTGAACCTTCATTAACCGTTCAACAAGAGATGCGGAGAGGTCGTTGCTAATCTATTACATTTTATTTGTTTAATGTTTTGTTAATTTTTCTTTTAGAATAAAACAAATATTTCTTGGGGGCTAAGAGAGAGTTTGTTTGTCTCTCTCTCGTCTCCATTGAAAAAACAGAGGTGAAAAGGTTTCAAAACCAAAAGAAACCTTAAATCACCTCACTTCCTTGATTCTTTACTATTCAAAATGAGTAATCGATTTTTTTCTTTCTTGGTAACAATTACTCTGTCGTGTTATTGAGCTGTTTTTGATGAATCCATGTGTTCTCTGTTGTTCTTACAATCCCTAACCGAACGAACCATAAACCGAATTGATTTGGTCAGATTTGGTATTGAGCTAAGCAGAGGAGTTCAGAGACCTGAAAATATGTTTTAAGTATTGATATAATTGGAAGACGAAATGTCTTTACACTTGTGAAGTTAGAGAAAGTGTTGTAATTGTTTCTTCTAAGAGTTGATCTAAGATGTTTGAGACTATATCTTCGCTTATGATTCCTTCCAAATCTTCGAGATTTGAAGCTTTTCCGTAAACCCATTTCGACTCTTTGATCTCAGATACAGTGAGTCTGCAAATCATGAGCCACATCTCTTGGTAGTCATGGAGTCGGACTTCGGACTCTCTTGAGATGCGATCTTCTTGAATTGTTTCGTTTCGCTTACTAGATTCCAGTTCCGAATATAACCGTCTTCTTGAACTGTTCTCTGTTACAAGGAAACAAATTAAGCTTTAACACAAGCAATAAAACACACAAAAGTGAAAGAATATTTCAATTTTGGATTTGAAGAATTACCAACCTGGTTCTGGAGTTACTCGAACATCAGCGAACCGATCGTAATCAAGAACTGAGACAGGGCTTGAATCATCGCAACTTCCACACTCTTCTTCGTCCTTTGTTGATCTCACTTCACAATTGGCTAAAAGATCTCCATCTCTGGACCAACGACTATATCTCTTGATCAAATTCTCCTTCTCGATGTTCTGTCTCAACTTAATTTCTCTTCTTTTTCTTCTCCTCTTACGTTTCTCCTTCCTACTCGGTTTCAATTCTCCGACGTCAAGCCTCTCGCGACCCGGTGAAACGTTTGTGATGTTGATGTTGTTCTCTTTACCCTCGTTGCGTGTTTGATTCTCTGTTTCGCTCTGATTCTTTCTTGATTCTCGTCTCTTGTTACATTCTCTTGTTCCCAGCTGCTTCAATTCACCAAAACCTTTCTCATTTCTGTCCTTCTCGAAGCTGAGAATGAAGAAATGATCGTCTTCAAGCTCAACATACTCCTGAAACTGGCACAAATCAAGACTGGTGGACTTAACTCTTCTCTCATCGTTGACATAATCAACACAATTCACTGAACGGCTCCTTGAGACAACTCTGGTTTTGACGGGAATCGAGTCCAAATCCATGAGCCTGGCCACAGCTCCTGGCTCATCTCCTCCGGCTCCGGGTGGCTCGGAGCTGAAATCAGAAGACTCGAAACCCGGTTCAGTGATTTGATCAGATGGGTACGTAGAAGTACCGGAACAGAGAAATCTTTGAAGAATCAGAGAGACACAGCCGAAAGTTTGAGTCTTTGAGCTGAATGAGATCGAAGAAGACGATGACTTCATCTTCATGGTCTAATTGTCTATAGTGTCAGTGTCGGAGAAGTAAGTAACGCAGAAAGAAAATACCAGAAAGAAAATAACTTTTTTTTTTTTTGTCGCTGTACTTCTTCTTTTTCGGTTTTAGAAACCAAAAAGTGTGAACAAAACAGAGCGGGATCTTGGATTTGAACTAAATTATCATCTCAGTCAAAAATAAAATAGTTATTGATTGCTTTATGTGATTGAGAGAGTAGTAGCAGAGTACAGTGGAGATGCTGTGTACTGCACGCGCTTTTGACATGTCAATTTCCCGGAGAACTTCATGTCCTCCGGTGTCGCCTTTTTTTGTAACAACCTCTGTTAC